TTTGCTAAAACTCCCCTCTAAAATGATTAGGACCCATCAGGTCCATTCTATTCATATATATTTTATATTTTTACTGCATTTGTGCTGAACCACTGTAGGAGCTTCTAATCGCTCTCTTCACATTCTCCATTGCCAGGATGATCTTTGCAAACTTTAAATCAGATCATTCTCTTTCTGATGGTCTCTTATGTCCCAAAAGACCCCAAGTGATCTGGCCTTGCCTGCCTTTCCGACCTCATCCCCAGCCATTCTCTCCCTAACTCAGTATATTTCAAGGTTAGCAGCCCTCATTCTGTTCTTCAAGTTCACCAAGCTCATTCACACTTCAGGGGTCCTACTATGTTGTGGCCTTTGCTTGGAATGTTCTTTCCTTAGATCTAAGTTTAGCTGGGTAATTGTATCATTCATATCTCAGTTTAAGCATACCTTTCACAAAGGCTTCACCTGAATTCTCTAAAAAATCAACCCCTTCTTCAGTCTCTCTCTACCCATTAACTTATTCTGCTTTTGTTTAGTTTACTAACAGTTACTAATATCTGAACTTATTTTTTTCTAACAAACACCAATATCTGAACTTGTGATTTTTATAGTTTCATGTTTATTTTTTTCCCTTCCACTATAATGTAAGCCCCATGGAGGTAGGAATTATTTCTCTATTATTCATTAAAATGTCTCCAAGTTCTAGAGTAGTATGAATACCCAGTACATGAGCTCTCAAAAGTATTTATTTAATGTTTAAATTAATGAATGGATAAAAGGATCAATCTCATTCTTCACAAACATTAAAGACCATAAAATCCCAATCCTCACTAATCATTCATTCAACATGTACTTTATTAATAACCTATTTTGTATCTGACACTGCAGGATGCTAGATAGACAGTTGTGAACAAAATAAGCCCTCTGCTCTCATTAAACTTATACACTGCCAGTAGACAACAGTAAACATTAAAAAAAGTAAATGTAGGGGCGCCTGGGTGGCTCAGTGGGTTAAACCTCTGCCTTTGGCTCAGGTCATGATCTCAGGGTCCTGGGATTGAGCCCCGCATCGGGCTCTCTGCTCAGCAGGGAGCCTGCTTCCCCCTCTCTCTCTTCCTGCCTTTCTCCCTACTTGTGATCTCTCTTTCTCTGTCAAATAAATAAATAAAATATTTTTTAAAAAGTAAATGTATTTATTATATCTAATGGTATTCGTCTAAAAAACAAACTCTGGTAGCATTTTGTCAATTTCCATGGTGTAAATACTCCTATCATAGTCAGTTCCAAGCTTCCAATGTTTTAACAATTGTTGAAACAATTTCAATCTTTAACAATTTTTTTTAAAAGACTTATTTATTCGTTTGAGAGAGAGAGAAAGAGAGAGAAGAGAGAGAGAGAAAGAGAGAGAAAGCATACATGCATGCAAGGTTGGGGGAGGGGTAGAGGAAGAGAATCTTCAGGCAGACTCCCTGCTGAGCAGGGAACCTGATGAGGGCTCCATCCCAGGACCCTGCAACCATGATCTAAGCCAAAGGCAGACACTTAACCAACAGAGCCACCCAGGTACACCTAACAATTTTTAAAAAATATTTATTTACTTATTTGAGAGAGAGAGAGAGAGAGAGTGAGCATGCATGCACACCCACCTATGTGATTGGGAGGAGGGGCAGATGGAAAGAATCTTCAAGTAGACTCCCAGCTCAGCACACACCCCAATGCAGGGCCTGATCTCATGACCCAGGAGATCATGACCTGAGCCAAAATCAAGAGTCGAGACACTTAACTGACTGACATTTAACTGACACTTAACTGACCCAGGCGCTGCAAATTTAAAAATGTTTTAACAAAAATAAATAATACCTAAAAATTTTTTTGAAAATTAAATAAATGTCTCTCGTGATCATGTTTTTACTATGTCAGACAGTAGTAAGTGCTTTGGAGAAATAGAAAGCAGAGATGGATATAAGGAACTTTTGAGAAAAGCAGTATTAGTCAATACAGAGTGGCAAAGTGACATTTGATCTGAGACCTGAAAGAACTGGGGGACCGATTTTGAATGTTTGGAAGAAGGGCATGTGAGGCAGAAGAAACAGAAAAGACAAAGGCCTGAGGGCAGGAGCATGCTTGGAACAGCAAGAAGGATGGTGTGGTTGTGGCAGAATGAGAAAGCAGAGAGGAGGGGTGAGATCAGAGGGCCTTACAGCCCATTTCAAGGACTTGCACGTTTATTCTGAATGAGAGGGACACCTTTGGACTGTAGCAGAGGAATAGCAAGATTAATAATATATAGTCATTTTAAATTATTAAGACATGCTGTCATGTTCTGCCTCCAAAATAAATAACAAACCCAACAATATAGTATGGAAATCCTACTTAAGTCATTATCAACTCAAGAGTATATGTAGCAAAATCTTTTTATAAATCTGCAATGGGATTTTTCCCTTATGAATGTAGGCTGCAGATGCATGAGCAGCAAATTGTTTGTGGATAACGTGAAGCACTCATTTCTAGTTCTATCAGCAACTTGTAAATCTGGCAAATACAAATGTCAGTTTGCCAACTGTTGGCCTTACTTAGGGTAAACGCGAGTCCATCATGTCATAGTACAAATTTCCTTGGGAGATTATTCTATAATACTCATTTTGTTTTTTAAGGGGACATCCCTGTACAGGCTTCATAACAGTATAAAGGATATTCACAGATTTTTATAGAAAACTGATTTTTAATGTTAAGACTATTTTTGATGTGAATGACTTTTGTGCTAATAGCTTTTTAAAGTGCCACTTAACTGAATATTATAGCTAAAGACGAATGTGGCTAACACTGCAAGAAATAATTTTGCATTTTTTATCCATAAAACTTTGGTCTTGGTTTGTGAATTGCACTAATGAGGTCTGTATATGAGATAGTTAATACCCACTCGGTCTCCTTATAAATGCATGCCCTGACAAGAAGAGGGCTGAAGAAGAGAATGTGAATGGTTCTGCACAAACTCGTTAAGAAGTGTCAGGGAGAAAAAGTGAAATAGTTGCCTCTTATTGAGCACTTACTATTTGCCCAGCATAATGCCAAGCTCTTTGCTTATATTATCTCCGTAATTTCTTTTGAGCTAAGTAGTATTTATAGGTCAGGTTCAGAGAATTTAAGTGAGTCATACAAAGTCATCTAAGTTACTAAGTGGCAGGGTTAGGACTCCACCCGACAGCCTGTGTTCCCACCTGCCATAATTTATCATGTACAGTTAAAGAGTTAGGAGTAATATCACCATAGATAAATAGCCTATACTATCGCAAAGATCTTTCTCCTTTAAAATATTATAAATTACCCCATAAGTCACTAGAGGTTATGAAAGCTTTATCTACACACAGGAACTTTACTTTTCTACCTATCATGAACCACTTAAAGTTACTTAGGGGCTTTGTTACTTTGCCAAATGCCAGTTACTTTGGGCATTTTCCAAAAGATACTCCATAGACAACTAATTCTATAGACCTCTTATGGTGTCTTAAATTAAATTATTAAATTATGGTGGCTAAATTAGTTTGAGATATACTGGGTAAACAAAGTTATATAGGTGGTTGTTGTTGTTTATTTTTTAAGACTTCTTCAATTCTTTAATAATAGCCTTTGTGAATTTCTAAGACATCAGATAATTCACTTTATTTCCTAAACACATTTAATCAAGGAACATTTTCTTCCCACATAATAATCCAAAGGATGAGTGCTTTGCAAGAGCATTATTTTGGGAAATCTCTAACTTATCCTTAAGTTCAAGTTTATAATACAAATAGAAGCATCATATCTTCAGAAGAGTGCCTATCCAAGGGTTCAGTGTTCCTGAAAAGAATGACTCAGAGCCACACACTTGTTTATTTCTGTTTTAAAGACTCTGGCACTTGTTCAGCTTCTGACAGAGATGTGTAGATCTCGCTAAAATCAAAGAACGAAATTGTATTCCTTGAAGATAACTCTTATCACATTCTTAGACACCACAGGGGTATTTTCTTTGTAACTGGTAAGATATTGAACATCACCCAAAAACAAGCTTGCTTGGTTATAGACAAGGCGAAGCCTGGATGCTTTTGTGTTCCACATGGCATTTTCCCATTTACAGTGTGTGTGTGTGTGTGTGTGTGTGTGTGTACACGCAATTGTGCATGTGTGTGAGTGTGTATTCCTGGCAAACTTCTTTGGGCAAGTTGTGCTCTGATCAAAATAACATAATTATCAGACTTTAGTCATCTAATCAGCCTGATTTCCCCAGAAGATACAGCAAATTGCTCCCAGACCCAGAAAATAGAAGGGGAGGGCATCTTCTAACTAACTGAAGACTTTGCCTCCCTGGGTGTGTTTCTTCTTGCCTTTGAATGAACTCATCTCTGAGCTATAGATCAGAAAGTCAAATCCATTACATACTAAATGAGGAAGGCATTATTATACAGAGAGTGGGCTTCTAAATCTGTAAGGGCTGAATTCATTTTGACTGACCCACTAGCTTCCAGGCTGAGTGGCCATTCTTATTTTATTTTATTATTTTTCAATCAATCATACATTTTTCTAGAAAACAGTTATTGATTACCATTTACGTTTCTAGACTTTGTTGTCATTCCAGGTCTACAATATAGAACAAAGACAGATAAGTCTTTGAGCCTTACTTGCTTCATCTATAAATTGGGAATGTATAGGATTTGCAGTAAGAATTAAATAAAAATATGTATCTAAAGTATCTAATACAGTGCCTGGCACTCAAAAGGGGATTAACAAATCATAAGGATCATAAAACCAAGGATGATGAAAATTCTTACTGGTCTGAAGATTTCATATAATCATGGATATTCCTTTGCATAGGGGGAAAAAAGCAGTTGCTTGAATGTGGTTTTTTTTTCCCCCTAGTAAATAGCTATAATTTCCAAAGTCTTTACTCCTTGAAGTCTAGATAATACAGTCTGTTTTAAAGAAAAAATGCTATCTTAGAGGGGTATCATTTTAAGCCACATTTACTACGAATGCTCTAATTCATACTGATTTATCAGATTAGTTTACAAATTACCTGTACATGCAAGACCTGAAAGAGTAGGAAGTTGAAAGGTACATTTTATTAGCAATAATCGCGCCTCGGATAAACCTCATTGGCTACGATACTGCCACTGCGCAAAGCTGAAAGGTACATTTTATTAAGAGAGATATAAAATATCTTAGGTGAAGGAACTATCATGAGAGCTATGATAGTAGAAGATTCTAAAAAAAGAAAAAAAAAACCAGGGGTACAGAAGTTCTAAGAAAGAAGAAAGGGAGAAGACAGATAGCTACTAAAACTCTGCAGTTGGTTCCCATTAGACTGAAAAGAGTTTCTATTAAATTTCTAGAATCTGGGGGCGCCTGGGTGGCTCAGTGGGTTAAGGCCTCTGCCTTTGGCTCGGGTCATGATCCCAGGGTCCTGGGATCGAGCCCCATATCGGGCTCTCTGCTCGGCAGGGAGCCTGCTTCCTCCTCTCTCTCTCTCTCTGCCTGCCTCTCTGCCTACTTGTGATCTCTATCTGTCAAATAAATAAATAAAATCTTAAAAAAAAAAAAATTTCTAGAATCTGCATAAGCAAGAAACCCCTGTCTGGCTCTCTTGCCTTACACTGTTCTCTCTTTGTTCATTACATTCTAGTCACAAAGATCTTCTTCCTGTCCATCAAAGTCCAAGTATGCCCCCAGTCTCAGTTTCATGGCTTTGGGATTTTTGCATTTGCCAGAATCATTCTGTTTGTAATGGTGCAGCCCAACATTTTCCCATGGTTGCCTCAAAGGTGTCAGCTCATTAGAGAATCTTTTATGAACACCCGACTTAAGGTAACCCTGGATACTCTCTAACATACCACTCTATTTATTATTTATATATAATTGTCATTGTATTTACCATCATCTAATCTTTTCTTTTTTTTTCTTAACTTATTCAGCTTTTTAATTATTTGACTCCACCCAAATATCTATAACACAAGCTCTATATACACACGGTAGTTGACTATCTTTTTCACTGCTGTACCTCTAGCATTGAGGATTGTGCCTGCCATCTAGTAGGCTCTCAATAAAAAATTCTTGAATGAATAAATGATTGAATACCAGCATTAAAAAAATCCTTCAAAGGGATGTTGAGAAATGGCAAAGAATAATTTTACCAAATTGACAATTTTGCCTAGGGCCAAAGCTGAACATAACATTAATAATGTTCATTGATATTTTCTGGACTAATTTTGACATCTCTAATGAAAGAATTGCTCCTTCATGCATTCAGTTCTGGGAAATCAGTTATTATTCTAATCAATGTCTTTCTAATTTGAGCAGTGGTTATTTTAAATCACCATAAAGGTGTGTTTTACCACGTGTCACAAACAGAATTTTTGTATTTCTGTATATTATAAGGGAGAGGTGATTTTTAAATTTATGTATGGAGGATTATAATTACATAGATATATGTTGTATATTAATAATACTATCAGGAAGAACAATAACAGCTTTTATTTAAATAGATACTTAGCAAAATATCATTACCTTTATTCTATCCCTCAAAAATATATAACCAATTACTTACCTTGTTTCCTTTTCTTAGTGACAAATTTCATTAGTTTAAGACATTTTTTAAATTCCACAATTTCCTTATTTGCTATCACATTACTTCTAAGAATGTCAAACTCCTGCTAATCCACAAATAAGATATTCAATGCCAGTATGTCAAACATAAGTTCTTATCCAGAGCTCAAAAACATCTTGCGCTACAAACAGAATGGCAATTACGGATGCAAGAAACGTATCACTCCCTCAAGGCTTTTCAGAAATCTTGATTATTTAATCAGTGTTCTTGATTTGTAAGGCTAGGTAGTAGATGGTTCCCAAAATGTGTCACATTGGACATTATCCAGATGGAGTGCCAGTTTTCATTTGAGATTAAAGAGGTAAAACCCAACAAAAAAGGTTTTCCACCATCTCGGACTATAGCTCAACTTATATCAGATGACAAATAAAACCTGGCAGTCTGCTTTGCCCATGATTTTAAAACAGAAACTTCATTGAACTGCCAGTTACCAAATGAGCTGATTAACTCTGATGTTGATTAAAGTTTTATACCATGTTTTTATTACTGACAAGTTTCTTTCTTCTCTCTTTTTGGGGGTCTTGTTCTTTCAATGTAATTCTCACCTTGTGTCTAAGATTTCACTACGTCATTTACGTTTTGACATATACACTTAGTGGTACTATTTTCAAGGATTTCTAGTGTATGCTTGCAATATTAATATATAATATGCACTGCATAGGAGGAATCTAAATCATGCATATTCCTTTCAAAGTTATACATAGGAGCACCATAGTGATGTTCAACTTAACTCTTCCCAGACCTCTCTCTCTCTTATTTAGCACTTTCATTTAATGTATACAAAGTTCCAATTTTTTAAAAACTTGACTCTTTCTTTACACACATGTCATTCCTGAGGTTGACTGTTCTACTGAAGAATAAACAACAGCTACAAGGAAAGTCAGACAGGGATTGGGCAATAGCATGTAGACAGACAAAATAATAATAATAAATAATGTTCATTAATATTGATACTAAGAAACTCACAAGAGATTAAAGGCCCAGGAGACTGAAGTCCAAGAGTTGAGGAAGCAATCACTTCAGATGTTTAGGCTGGAGAGGAGTCAGGATCCCAGGCTGTGAGGTGCCTTAAATGAAAGGCACCAATAGTTAGGTCGAGAAGTTAGCCTGATCAAAAGATGGGATTAGATGGTGTTGGATGTATCCTTTAAGACAACATTTCCCCTTTCTTTAGCTTTAATCTTATGAAAGTTCTTTCAATTCCTTAATAGAGCTTGCTCACTCTCATTGTGGGTGAATGATAATAATTTGCTTTTTTCTAGAACATTCCTTCCTTCCCCCCCCCCTTCCCCTCCATTTCCCTGGCTATAAGGTTGCCTCTCTCTCAGTTTTCATTTCCATATCACTTCCAGAAGAAAGATTTTGCTGACTGTGCACATGCATATTATGTATCCCTAGGGGCTATATTTCTTCCTTCAGAGAACTGGGACTGTAACAAGACTACTAGCTACCAGTCTGGGTCAGTCACCAGGTACTAAATACCTTGAAGATAAGTACCATATTGATTTTTATGCATTCCTATATCATTACTATCCAGCACAGCACCTTCCAACTCTTTGATAATTATTTGTTAAAGGAACAAATATTGCTTATGGGTGTGGGTAGCTATGGACACCTAGATATAAACAGGAAATTGACTGCTCCTTGTTGAATAGTAAGCATCAATGGTGGTAAAAAAACTGATATCTGCAGGGGCAGGGCTAAAGGAACTGAGATTCTTGACAACGATGCAGGATGAGGATATAACTGTGGTATTCCATTCAGCAGTCCCTGGCATGCTGATTTAGATATTAAGAAAGCAGCTAATAGTAATAATACTTTCCAATCTCCCTGCACTTCATACCCAAAAGATTTACTGAGTTTTATAAACACTGATTAGTCATCCTTGCCCTAGTGAGGTGGGTAAGAGTTATTATGCTCATATTATGAAGAAGAAAACCAAGGCAGAGAGAGATTAAGTGGTTAACCCAAGGTCAGGCAGTGAGTCATGGAGAGCTGGCACTTAGACATAGAGTTTTAAACTTGCAGCTCTCTGCTTAGTCTATTAAGCATAGAACTAGAAGTTGGATGCCTTCCTGAAGCCCCTCAGAAGGAAAAGTAGCTCCCTTTTCCATGCTTTCCCATTGCCATTGGCACCACCAATGCCACTGTCTTAATGTATGCCAGGCATAATGCCTAGCACTTTCTATATATGAAGCCACTGAATCCTGCAACAACAACAATGAAAACCTTGAAATAACTTTCATTTTTACCACTTTAAAGATAAGAAAATTGTGTTTCAGAAATATAAATTAACTATTATATAAGAGACTTGGAATTCAGACCCCCTAATTATCATAAGTGAAAGCCTATGCTACTTTCCAACATCCTATAACTTAAATGCTTGTGTACAGGTTATTAGTACATGATAGGGTCAGATGTATGGTATGGGTAAGTGATAAAATTCACAAAGGATAGCAGAGTACTAGAATATAACTGATTCCCAATAAATGTTTATGGAATAAATAACAGAGAGAAGCTAAAATCTCTCCCAAGATCACAGGTAACTGAAACTAGGATCCAGCATTTGAATGGTTCAGTCACAGAGGAGGAACTGATATCAAGTTCATTGCTCTGATTCCTGGATGCAGACACTAGTAGGAATGCCTGGGTATTCTCTCAGGAAGGGGAAGTGGAAGCATATTCAATTGTAACTTCACATCTCTTCCATTCCAGGAAGACATACGAATCTACCTTTACCTTTACCCACTTAAGCATTTATAAAAAAGTATACGCAAAGGTTAATATATCAAGAAATTCATTATAATTCTACTAGGAAAATCTAGATACTACCTAAATATCCAACAGATGAATATCAATTTAATTTGCCAATATCTTACAATACCTTACAAGTTATACCATTAAACACAGGGCTTACAAGTAATCTTTGAATATGTCAGAGTTACAGCACATGGTTATATAAAAAGAGCAGGTTCCAGAATAATAGAGTTATGGTCCTGTTTTTTGAAATAATATATATGTATAAATACATGAGACTCTGGAAGGACACACCCAGATAGCTAACAGTGGTTATCTCCAAAAACAGGATTATGGGCATCTTTTTTTGGTTTATCTATGTTTTCTGAATCTTCTGAAATGATTATTATTCTTATAATGAGAAGAACAAAGTTATTTTTAATTTTGAAAAAAAAATTAAAACAGATGCCTCAGGGAAGAGTGGGTTTTGAACCACTGGAATCATAAACCAGGCACCAGCTGCCACCTGAAAATCTCGGCTTTAAAATAAGCCAGACTCCTGAACATACCCAAGCATGTGTTTCCCCTCCCATGCCACACATACTGTTCTTTGATATAAAAAATCAAATGATTCATTCTGTTCCCTTCCACCTTACCCTGACATAGCAAAGATGGAATGTGCACTATTTCCAAATCAAAATAGGCACAGTGCAGCAAGAGGCACTTCCAAATGATGAAATTAGATTAGAAGTTAAGGCAAAATATGTTTAACTGGCTTTTAAAGAA